TACTTCGCAGCGGAAGTTGTTTAGGATATTCGCATTTGAACAAATTAGGGTTAACTAAATGAAGATAACAAAGACTGTTAGGAAAAAATTAACTGGGACCGAAAATATCGTAAAATTACAGTTAAAGTGAAGACATCTGTTTAAGAATAGCTTATTTTAAAGCGACAAGCTTTCCGGGTGTTCTTTCCTTAAGCTTCAATTTTACTTTTACATGAAAGTTCATAACAATTTGGTTGTTTTGTTTTGTTTTGTTTTTTTTTTTTTTTTTTGAAACTTTGACTAACGATATCAACAACAATGCTCATGAGTTTTAACAATTATGAATAGTTCTTGTAGTTGTTTATTACTTTTAGAGGTTGCTTTAAAAGTTGAAAGGAATTATTATTGTTTTGTTGTTTTCCTTCTTTTTTTTTTCTTTTGTGATCATGATATGTAAGGATAGTTTTGATTCGATTATTATCTTAATTGTTTATCTATAATAAAAATTTATATTTTCTTTTGTTTATATCTCAATTGGTTTTATGCTTTTTTTTTTGTTTTTTTTTTTAAATACGTTAATGTACATATATAAATGTAACGTGTGTTATAGTCTTTTTTTGGTTATTTAATGTATTTATCAGTCAATTAAGCCATAATTATGGTAACATCAATTAAATACAATTACGTACACATATGGTAGATACACATCAAAATTATACATATATATATATATATATATATATATATATATATATATACATATATACATAGGTATATAGCACAGATATATACACATATAAAACACAATGTCATAAAAGAATTGCATCTATGCGAAAATGGAAGAATTTTCATCAGTAATTATGTTCGTTTAGTTAGTTTATATAATCGTGGTTTTAATTAATTACTAGGTTTTTTTTCTTTTTTTAATTCCATATTTCTTTAAATTTAATGTTTAATAATTTTTTAATTTCAATTTTTTGTTTTTGTTTTCTGTTAATATAAATGCATTTTAATTTGTAATTTCTTGTTTACTATTCAGCTTGTTTTTTTAATTATTGTTGCGTTTATTTGATTTATTTTTGTTACTTATTATTCTTTTGCTTATTTACTTGTTTTAATAAAATTTTATAGGATTTCTTTTTATTATTGTTCATTGTTAATTAATATGTATGCTTGAATGTGTATACCCGTGATTTAACTGAAGTAATTGTCACGTTGTTGATAGATCGGCAGTGGTTCATTAGGTGAGACTGATTTACGTCCATCGTCGGTTTCCTTAACACCATTCTGCTCTCCGTTGCCAATTTTTGACATTGCTTTCTCTAAAGTTTGGTCGATTGTATATATATAAAAAAAAAAGGTAATAATGATCACAAAATAAACAAAAAAATTAATTTTCATATTTTAAATTTTAAAAGCATATTTTTTTTTAAGTGTACGGATTAAGGAATTAGTGCCAAGTTTATGATGTTTGTATGCATCGATTTTGTAATATTATGCGTGTACTTACACCCTTTGTTTGTTGTTGTTGTTGTATAAATTTAAAAATTATTTGACTATTGTTTATGATGCAGCATCCAGTAAAAATGACTGTTAGTTTCGCTAGCTTACAAATTTTACTTTTTACTTGATGTTAGTACGTATGGTATGAGCATGTGCTTGCGTGGTTGCTTGTGTAACTGTAAAGATACTAAAAACTGACTGGCCTAAAACACAAGGGCTACAGACTATTTCACGATACTCGCTATTCGCGATAGTCCAAGTGAAGATTTTCGCCTGTTTTCTGGAATTGTTTGGGCATAAGGCGTGCCTCGTTTTGTGACTTTTTTCATATCCATTGTCCATGAACGGAGCGAGGAGAAATTTCTTTATCCTCGAATTTACGATATGCTTAGAAATATTTTGTTTTCAAAAACGAACATCTTTGTGTTTCCATTTAAGATCTTTTGCCATCAATACATTGAATACATTCTTCGAGATGTGCTGAAAACTGTTTTGAAAGCAACGTCAAGTGTACGCATAAATTCGTGAAGAATTTTGAGGAATTTTCAAATTCAAATTATTTGAAAACAGTTGTAAATGTTTCAAGCCCCAAATCTTCGTTTTTGGAATCATGTCCTATTGCCAGCAAAGTTAAATATATATTTATATATGATTGTCCGGAAAATAATTTCGATTTTTCCTAGCAGAGGACATAACGGTATTTTTTCATAGTCAACTTCACACTTAAGCCAAATAATTGTAATATACGTTGAAAGCGTTGCAGAAGCAAGGTTTGCTTTTGAAAGAGTTCCATTGTTGGCCTTTCAAATATGGCCAGAATTTTCGACATATTTTACTTTTCTTTTACTACAAGCAAGAAAAATATTATCCGATGTGTACGGAGAAGATGCATTAACTTGTTTGCAAAATTTCGATCCGGAAAATGTGGATCTTGAAGATGCACCGCGTTATCGGAGGCCAGTTGAAGGTAATAATAAGGGCATTCATTGATGCAAACGTTCTGATAACAACCCGTGAGGTCGCTGAGAGATTAAATTTATTGAATTCGTCAGTTTTCTTGAAAAGAAAACCAAACTTACTTTCCGAGCAGCCTGATAGCTTAGTACGAATTTCGCAAAGTTTCATTTCAGCAAATTTTTATAGTATATACATATAGCTTAAACGTGAACTTTTCTGCGGAAAATGGAATTAAATCGACCGTTGGGTGAAAACGAATTAATTTCAAAATTGTTCAATTTTTGAAATATGAGAAAATTTCAAGCGACATTGTTTCGATATAGCTCTCAAGTCAAAATGGTTATCGAAGCAGTAGTTGGTCTTCGATTTTCAAAGTATCTTTACGGTAGGTTTATGAAAGATTTGGGCGGGATTAATAATGATGATTGACGTAGCGCCAGCAATGATTGGCGCAATTTTAAAAGGGGGAGGGAAACTTTTATTATTATTGTATCCAAAGAATGTGGCACGAATAGAAAACGCTTTGATTCCGGCAAACACATATGTCAATCACATTGTCTCTAAGTAGTTCTTGGCTAAAGACGATAACGGAGCAAAGTAATTTTTGGTTTTTAGATACCTTACTGCCTCTCTCCTTCTTTTATCTAACACTCAGAAATACGAATGAAAAGATCCTTTTAGGGTATACGTTCTCGATCACCATAAGATCTGATTCGTTCTGGTTTTGTCCGTATGTCCTTTCTCCAAACTGACTGCTTCTTCGCCCTGCTTCCATCTAATCGATTAAATGCTTTCACGCTCGTTCGTCCGCCCGATTTGATTTGTGCTTGCCCGACCATCAGTCTGAATATCTCTTCGCTTATCATTTACTTTTAACCAGCTAACTATATATATATATATATATATGACGAATTATATATTCGTCCATTCGTTCTTGTAAAATTTCCTCATCATTATGAATGTGTAACTTTGTGCAAAGAGCGCAGTGCTGTCTTAGCTAAAAAACTCATTAGTCTATTAAAGTCTAAAGCAAAATAAAGTAAAGGTGTGCCTTTGTGCTTTTTTATTGTGATTCTATTATTATATACTATTAGTAGGGGTGTATGCAGTTTGAAAGCTTAGTGAAAGAACGTTCCTAAACTTTGTTTAATTTGTTATAAATAAAATATTTACTTTTGTAACGACATGTGTTACGCTTGTACACAATACTTGTTTAGAAGGCCATAAGCATGAGGATATATGTGATGTGTTTGCAAGCCTGTCTGTCTGTGTAAATGTATATGTGTATGCATATGTACGTGTATATCTTTATGCATATGATTGCTTTGTTTGTATTTGAGAATACATTGCATATATTGTTGTTGTTGTTGTTATTGTTATTGTTAACAAATGATTGTTGACATCGTGTTGTGTAGTAGTAATTAATTTCAAAAACAATTATTACAATAATTTATAACAATTTCAGAACGATTTCTGTAAACAATTTATGGTTGTTTTCTCTTTCTTGTTTTCCTCTTTTTTTTTTTTTTTTTTTTTTTGTTTGTTAATGTGTGTTTTACAATAAATTTTCGTTAAAGAAGAAAATTTGTTAATAAATGTTTTTTTTTTTCAACGAAAATGTATAATATACACATACATACGTACATACATAAACAAATAAATACATGTATGTAAAAGGGAAGCAATTAAAAACATAAATATATATATATATATGTATGTTTAAATATATTAAAATACATTGCAATACAAACCTGGTCTGTTGTAACAAAAATTAGCGAAGTTTTTATTTTATTTTGTAATTTTTTTTTTTTTTTACATTTGTTGTTGAGTAGATGTAGTTGTAGTAGTTGTTTATTTTTAAGACTTGAAAGTCGATTGGTAGTAGTGATTTGTTGGTTGGTTGGTTGGTTGGTTGGTTTATATATATATATTTCTTCTTTTGTTTTTCTTTTTTCTTTAGTAAGTATAACAACTCTGAGTGAATTTGGTTATTATTTATGGCTTATGGAATTTCATGAATTTCATTTCTTTGTATGTGTTGTATACAGTGAAAAATGTTGCATTCGTTACTGTTAATGTTACTGTTATTGTTACTGTTGATGTTTATGTTGATGTTGATGTTTTTTTTTTTTTTTTTTTTTTTTTTTTTTTTTTTTTTG